TGTAATTATTTCTATAATATTAAATATTAAGTTAAGTATTTAGGGGTAATATAAAGATATTTTTTTAATAATAAAAAAAAATGTAGGTACATAGGTAATTTAAGAAACACAATGTCGGTATAACCAATTGCTGATGTTGCTTAATTGGTAACTTTAATGAGTAATATACAATTTTATTATAAAAAAAGAAAATAAACCGATTATCGTTATATTAATATTCATAGTGTTATACTAATAGAAATTTATTTAAAATATGTTGTATGCTACTTGATATTTATCTTCTGCAAGAAAAATAGATAAAAGAATCATAAATGTTTTATGTTTTATGAATTATAATTAAAAAAAAATTTGAATAATATGCTTCCTATATTTCAAAGAAATTTCTGTAGCGAAATAGTATGACAGACATAATAATAATAATAACACAATTTTCAAAAATAAGTGATAYCTCAAATCGGTCAGAAAAAACTAAAAGATTGCTAAAAACCATTATTAATTGATTGTAAAGTTTTAAGATAAAATCAATCTWAGGAAGTTTAATTACTCTGCTAGTTGCTACATTTATTTTCTCAAAATACATTTTTAGTTACAATAACTCATTAATGGTTTGGTAGTAGAACATTYAAACTTCAAAGTATTAGTTTCTAAGAGTAACAACTAGAGACAGGGGACTTCATYAAATGAAAGTTTACCCCGAATTTTACTGTATAGTCATCAAGTATAAATATCAAAATTAAAATTATATACTGAATTTTATGTTGCTCTTSAGTAGCAGTGTGCAAACTATGTTACATTGACAAATTTTGGCCCACGGTTGCAATCAATGCAGCCTGCAATCTATACTTTAAATAGTAAAATAAAAAAAAACTTAATATAAAAAATACGGACTGAATTATAAAAGTACGCTTCTTATTGACAGTTCTACATTTTTATTTTTGGCCTAAAAAGTGCTCATTCTTGACCTTGATCATGATTTTAATGATTCAAATTTTCAGACATTAAATGTTTAAAAAAAATGTGATATGTGTGAATTTTAACATGTCGGTGTCTAATGGTAAAGATGTAGTCAAACAAAGAACGAATTGCTGTATCTGTCGGTTACGCAGACTACGATAGGCAGCAAACAGGTAATATTATTTTACAGTGACTGCACAGGCAGCCTACTTTATGTTTGAATGTGYCTTAATACGCAGTTCTGCCAAACTTGTTGTTGTTTTTGGATAAGTATCAGTTAATTCCAGAAAAGTTTTAAAGGTATTTTATAGCCATTACATTAATAATAACTTGTTAGAATTCCAGTATAAGATAAGGAATAAGTTACCACATCCTATGATCGTCATAGATGGACATTTAATGTTAATGTGCGGCTCAAAGGCTACAACCTATGTTTCCACCTARAACTTGGAAATGTTCATAATACAACTSTTCTTGATAGTCAAATGACAAAGAATTCTACTGAAGGATGAAACAATCACTTAGTACATTTAATCGGTCAAAGATTAATCTTACAATATTAAAGTTGATTCAAAAAATTAAAAATTAAGTAGCTGCAAATTTAGTRAAGTTGGCATTAAATGATGTATGTGAGCCATTCAACAAAAGAAGGGTTGAAAAATCTAGGGTTGACTCAAAGGCCAAAGTGCAAAAAGAAAATTGAAAGATCTATGTTCAAGAATCTAAAATAACAAAATAAATTTTGAAGGCTTCCTAAAAGCAATCACTCAAAATATCAGAAAGTGACTAGAGATTGTAATGACTAGGTAATCATATAACATTTAAATTTATATACAATTATTGAATTATTATTATTATTATTATTATTTTTTTTTTAAGTATCCCGCGGCAACTAAGGCCATTGGGAAGGAGATAATTATGGAACGGTAGGTTGGTTTTTTACACGTTGGTGAGAATTTTGGCAGAATTTCTATTGGGGCACCCGTAGGTTTCTGCCATGCCCCGGAGTGGGGAATGGCGGCACTTGTTCTCCGGACATTGAGACTTGCCCGGAGAAAAATGCCGCTCGATGTTCGAGGATTGAACC